AAAAAAAAAAAAAAAAAAAAAATATATATATATATATCACTTCATCGAATTTAATTAATTCTAATACTTGCTAAGGTATTGTTTTTAATTGATCAAAAAAGTCATCATCATCATCATTAATCTTTAAACTATTTGCTAATTTATCTAAAAAATTATTTAAATCTAGTAATTCTAATACTAATTTCATTTCAGTATAAAATTGATCTAGTGTCTATTAAAAAGTTTTAAACTGTAGATTAAGGATAGATACAAGCAAAGCCAAATCTGAAAGTATAGTCTAAAGCTTATTTATAGACAAAAAAAATTATAGTATAAACTTTTTATAATAAACTTTTAGAATTAACAGAAAGTAAGTATTCAATTATATTAGAATTTAAATTATTAGTTTGTAATTTTTTTTTTTAATTGATATTTTTTTTTAGCTTTTATTTGTTTTTCTCTTTTTCTTTTTTTCATATATTGATGAAATTGTCTATGAGTATATTGCCAATGTTGATAAGTTCTCTCATTTGGTATACTGTTATTATCACTAATAGAACTAGAACTATAATCAGTACTACTATTATTACTAGCTATGCATCTATAAACTAAATTAAGATAGAATTGTTTTGTTTCTTCCTGATCTGATCAAGGTGCAAATGATCTTTTAAGAATTTTTATATATAGATAAACTATACTAAATATAGAATAATTTGTATCAGAAATTCAGCATGTAATTTTTTCAAAAAAAGCTAACATATTTATAATATTATAGAGAAATTTAAAAATAAATAAATTTAATATATATATATTAGTATTAGTAATATCAACTAGTTTATCAATAATAATTATTTTTTTAAGAATATATTATGTAGATCAATATCTAAATTTGTTATTAAAAGATTTTTTTTTATATTAATAAACTAGTTTTAAATTATATTGATTACTAAACTTACTGTTTTTCATCTAAAGTAAAACATAATTGTTCTAATTTTTTACCTTTCTTTTGTAGCAAATGTTTAGAACTTAGAATTAAAGAATTTGAAACATAGCATATAGCATTATAAAGTTTATAAATATATTTCTATATATAGTAAGTAAAACTCTAATATGTTTTAGTATCATTCAAAATATTCAATAGATTTAAATTTTTTGTCTAGTTGGAAAGATGAATTAATTTCATTTTGAGCAATTCAAAGCCTTTCTGCTTGTTTTAAAAGTTTAAAAAAAAGCTTAAAGATTTTTTATTCATCAATAAAAATTTTT